AACAAATTATACTACAAAAATTCTGTATATGCTATGTATTTAATTAAATTTGGTGAAATATAAGCCTTGAGAAGTCACATTAGGCTGTATTTGTTTCAAAGTAAAATGAATAGAAATTTTTTTCAGGCTGACATATTTGTCATATATTTTCATCCTTTAGTAGAGTGATAAGTACAACAGTTTACACTTTATCATAGCAGTGAGATGGTTAACAGTCTTTAGAATTTACAGAAACTGGACCTTATATAGTTCTTTTGGATAGAGTTTTCTCTTTTTGCTTCAGTACTTAATTTCTGCTAAACTTTGCTAGGGGTTCGCTATTTGGAAAAAGCTGTCTTTAATTTTGACTATGGGCAACTGAAACTGGTTTTTCATGCACTTGAGGAGCGTAAACAAGTTATTGAAAATGCTCCACACCTATGCCATGCTTTGCCATGCATGACACCGTGTTTCGACTGGTTTGAAGTTGTATACTACTGGATAGGATTGAAACTATATGATCTGGTTGCAGCAAAACGCTTGCTACATTTGTCCCGATATTACTCTGCACAAGAATCAATTGAACTCTTTCCGACTCTTGCACGGAAGGGTAAAGATAAAAGCTTGAAGGGTACAGTTGTGTACTATGATGGACAGATGAATGACTCCAGACTTAATGTTGGACTGGCATGCACTGCTGCATTAGCTGGTGCAGCAGTGCTTAACCATGCAGAAGTGGTGGCTTTTCTTAAGGATGATGTTACAGAAAGGATAATTGGTGCACGTATCCGAAACAATCTGTCAGGTACAATAGATAACACACTTATTGGCAGACAATTTCATCACCACCATTATTTTTTTCAGTTTTTCATGCTTGTACTTAAATGCCAATTTTAGTAACAGATATTTTGTTTATGCAGTTAACTGCCTTTTCATCCATGCACTTATCATTTATTTATCACCATTTAAAACTATCTTGCAATATCATAAACATTGAAGGTTTCTTAAAGAGCTGTGTTGCATTGACATGATTATAAACATTTAAATCTGAATTGATATGGCTTGTCGGATTAAAATACATAAAGCTTAAGATTTGTGAACTTGTCCATACATTTGATTAACATTACATCGAAGAAACAATGGGTGAAGTACCACTTTACCATGGATACGGGAGTAAATGAATGTGAGAATTTTTTTCCCACCTTAGCTTAGAACTTCCTGTTGGAAAAGACACTACTCAGTAATCAATATATGGTAAATGTTGACTTTATTGGCATTCCACTGGAGTTCACCTAGTGCCAGAGGTTATCCTATATTGGCAATTCAGTCATTTATATGAGTCCATGCTTGACAGACGAGATCCCTAAGACCATTTGGCATTGCAGTTACTGGTTTTATCTGCATTTAATAGCATATTTACTTGAAGTTGGCGCACCTTTGGTGACATCTATTTCTTTGTGTTGAGTTTGTTTGCTACTTTGCTTACAATAGCAAACCAGAGAGTCAAAAGAAGTAGGAAGATGAAAGGAAGAAGAGAGGGAAGGTGATGAGGTCTTAGGAGAATAAAGTTAGAGTCTACAGATACAGTTTTCCAGAAAACTTTAAGAAGAGCATATTTCTTTGTAGACTCTAACTTTATAATTAATAATCATATTTCTGTATGGACTGGTCTTAGATTTTCAGGCTTCAGGGTTGATCTAGGGCTGTAAAGTTGGGCTTGATAGCTGGGATTGAGCCTCAACTTGAGCAGGCCTGACCTTTTATGATATATGGACCACTATCTTTATATGTGCAATACATATTTAGGCTATACATATCTATGTAGATTATGTACTAACACACTATTTAAACTCCCAAAATACATTTTTTTATGAGCAAAAGATAATTTCATTAAAGTAATTAAATTTGGGATTACAACTTGATGACCAACATGTCAACCCAGAAAACCGAGGGTAGATTACAATGAAGCCCATAAAAGGTGTTGCCTTTTTGCCCCTTGCTTAGATAGGGAGTGGGCTAGCACATTTGCAGTTCTTCTCACCCACTTGAATTCAGCACCTATATCTCTCACAATCTTTTCCACTTCCCTGAGAACATGTTTGAGGTTCCACGGGGTATGTTTATTGTAACTTGCCCAAGAGATAATTACTTTAGAATCCCCTTCCACCTCTAGCTGTCTAAGGCCCAGTTGCTTAGCTAACCACAGACCTTGTAACAAAGCCATTAGTTCAGCCTTTACCGAATTTGCAATGCCAAGTGGTCCTGAGTCTAAGGCCAAGACTCTGCTCTCAGAATTTCTGATTATGCCTCCTATGCCTTCCAAGCCTGGATTGTCCAAAGAACTCCCATCCAAATTCAACTTTACTCTGTTGCCTTCTGGGGGTTTCCATTCCATTCTGATTCTCTCCTTATCCCTTGAGGATCGTGCTACTTCAGACCAAGATCTTATAATATCATTGACTGATAAGTTCTGGAAGCTGTCCAAAGTCTTCACCCAAAGTGCAACCTTCACTTTTATGCAATCTATTACCTCCTCCGAAGATCTACACTTTCCAGTGAAAATTCTGTTATTCCTTTCCGGTGAAAACTCCCAAAATACATTTGCACTACATCATTAGGCCTAAGCCCATGTATGCACATGGACATGCCACATGCATATATGATGCACATTATGTATAAATTTGTTGTTTGGTATTTTGGTAATAGTTTTATGTACTTTATTTTATTCTCCAAATTGGATAGCAGAGCCAAAATGGAATAATTAACCTGACCAACCTGCTCAGGCCCAAGCCCATTCCAAGTTGTGCTTGGATTTAACTCAGGTGGACTTGGATGGACGGGCTTGGGTTTTACCTCATATGGAGCTGAGTGTTGGGTTAGGGCCTAGTTCTTAGAGTTGGGCTTCGGTTGGCTCCCAAAACCTCCCCGCCCCAAACAATGGTTAAGGTTAGGATGGGGTTTGAGGCATCAAATATCCTGACTTAACCATAATATAACATGTTATATTTTCAGTCGTATCTTTTAAATCTTTGTTTGTATGCGAGGGGGGAAGATAGAGAAGGGTTCTGTCAGGTAGTTTGTAAAATATTACATTTATATACTGTCAATATATTATTCTTGTGTATATAATATGTGTATTTGCATGTTGTGGTGTTTGATTTAATCCAACCAGTTTAATATCATAACTGGATTCGGTTAGGATCAAGAATGCTGGGTTGAAAATCAGGTCAGTTAGGGTTTGGGTTGAGGTTACATGTTAAGCCAAGATACCACAACCAAATCCAATGCCAACTCTCAAGTTGCATTTCTAACCATATGGTTGTTAATGCGATATCCTTTATCCATCTGTTAAAGCATAGGATCTTCAATCATCTTCTTCTTTGGTTAGTACCTTTGCTCCAAAGTACAAGTAATTTCTAATTTTATTACTACTGTATATAATTCTGCCGAAGTCATTACCATGGTCTGGCATATTAAATATGCTAGCAGTTGAGTATTGGAGCATAAACTGCTTCTTTAACCTTTTCCTTTCTTCTTTATTGGTTAATGTTTCCAAAACAGTAGTGGTTTCATTAGTCCCTTTTTACCTGGTGAGTGGTACCAAGCAAGTCTTTTCATTAGATAGGTACTAAAATACTTGTTGTACTTTGCTTGCTTCTTACACCCTGTCAAAGTGCATCAGGCAAAGAGTTTGATACATATGCAAAAGTTGTTGTGAATGCTGCTGGGCCATTTTGTGACTCTGTGAGGAAACTTGCAAACAAAGATGCACAGCCCATGATTTCTCCTAGCAGTGGAGTGCACATTGTTCTCCCTGATTATTATTCTCCTGAGGGAATGGGCTTAATTGTTCCAAAAACCAAAGATGGACGTGTTGTTTTCATGCTGCCATGGTTGGGAAGAACAATTGCAGGAACAACAGATTCCAGTACTACAATTACCATGCTTCCAGAACCGCATGAAGATGAGATACAATTTATACTGGATGCCATTTGTGATTACCTTAATGTTAAGGTTTGTATCTTGTGCTGACAGTATCCTTTTTCTCTATGCATGCAAACCCTGTCAAAAAATATAAATTTAAACACCTTCATGACTTATATAGTTTGTGGATATTATATTAAATGTTTTCGTGACACTTTGAATTGTTTGGTTTATTTCTCCATGCCCTTCACTTGATTCTGATTGTTGTCAACTCTTGCTTCTACTGGCTTTTACTTATTTATATGTTCTTTTTGTTATCCAATCATTTCTTTTCATTGATAAGTATAGTCATGAAATATTCAGGTTTCATTTTCTGGTGTGCCTTTAAGACCATATTTGGCTGTTTTTGGGTGTCATAGAGGGTAGATGCTCTAGAGGATCTTCCTTCACTTTTATTTGGCTTCTTTCTTACATGTTTTGTACTGATCTTCCCCCTCCCCCATCTAGTGGCTGCAAATTTGAATTGTTCCAGAATAGATTTGGCTTAACAGTATTGATACTATTAAACCATGTAATCTTGGGTCTATCCATGTTATTGAAACAAACTAGCATTACAAAGTGCTTGATGTTAATGCATATTGATCAGGGTGGGTAACAATTTTTTTCCTTATTTTCTTGTAAAAAATAATCTAGATATTCGATTTATACTCATTTTAATGTAGTCTGACATGTTCTGGTATTGTCTATAATATAAACAGGTACGTCGTGCAGATGTTCTCTCTGCTTGGAGTGGCATTCGTCCATTGGCCATGGACCCATCAGCAAAGAACACTGAAAGCATTTCTAGGGATCATGTAGTTTCTGAAGATTACCCTGGTTTGCTCACTGTTACTGGTGGAAAATGGACTACATACAGAAGGTAAACTGAGAAAATGTTGATAAGGTCTGGGTGGATGATTTTCTTTTGAATGGATTTTTAGCACATCCATTGACTTTTTTCTACCTGATGTCTTGCCCTGTGTATCTTACCCAAACCATCTTTTAACATAATAATCAATCTTCCCTAGGGGTGATCATGGGCCGAGCTGGGCCGGGCTTTGCACTTATGATAAGGGTTATAGCTTAGGCCCGGGCCCAGCCCGGCCCGAGGTTCCTGACCTGAAACATAAGCCCTAGCCCAGGTCTATACGGGCCCGGGCCGAGCCGGGCCTAATTCCGGGCCAATGTCACTCATATATAAAACATTACATATCTATATATTAAATGACATAACATGCATATAAACTTATTTTATACATTATATAATATAAAATATTACATATAATATAGATTATACATGTCATGTTATAATATTTATATATAAAATATATAATATAATGTAAAATAACATGTATACATTATACACAAAATGTGTAAGTTTAAATATATGCGGGCCGGGCTGGGCCCGGGCCAGGCTTGAAGTATTAAGCCCAAGACCGGCCCTAAAATTTGCGGGCTGGGCTTGTGCGGGCCGGGCTGAAATGATCACCCCTTCTTCCCCTTGTATTTCTTGCTAATGGCAGAAATAGTGCTTTCCTTTCCATTCAAAATAAAAATTGTAAATCATCAGTTCATATTTTGTTTTTTGCTTTTGCATTTTCTTCCTCATCTCTTCTTTCTGGGATAAATTTGTGTGATTAATTTAATCGTTAGCTCAGCATGGCAGAGGATGCAGTTGATGCGGCTATAAAATCTGGGAAGTTGAGTCCAACAAATGGCTGCTTGACTAACCACCTACAAATCGTTGGGGGAGATGGTTGGGATCCAGCTTCATTTACAGTTCTTGCTCAACAATATGTTCGTATGAAGAAGACTCAAAATGGTAAAGTTGTTCCAGGGATAATGGACAGTGCTGCAGCCAAACATCTATCTCAAGCTTATGGTACTTTAGCTGAACGAGTGGCAACCATAGCTCAGGTTTGGGATTCATTCTTTATATCATAGTACTTGCAACCGGTATTATCAAACATTGCATTAGCAACCACCTACATGTTTTAAGACCCTATAGCCTAGATAGTTGTGCAGTTGTTGCTTTGTAACCTAGATGACTACAAAAAGATATATTTGGATAACTGAAATTGTATTTTGTTAATGGAACACTATTGAATGTAAGGCTGTGTTTAGTTGCAATGCAAATTTATTTGCACTAATGCAAAATCATAGTAGTGCAAATGATTTCAATGCAAATTATGATTTTTTTTATTTCAAAATTTATCTTCATTTATTTCATTGCAGTACAAATGAAGTAAAATAAGACCTAAAACAGAATAAAGTAAAACCTAAAACAAAATTAAACCAGAACTTGCATTATTTTCATTTGCACTCCCAAACATTTGTATTAGTGCAAATAAAACTGCACTGCAACCAAACACAGCCTAAAGAATGAATTGAAAGTTTGACCTCTCAGTAAAAGAATTTGATCAGTCAAATCTAGCCCTAGGCAGGTACTTAAATCATTTTGATATTGGTAGAACCATCTATTGGAGAGGAAAATTGATCAGGTTACCTCATTTATATAATAATAATAGTGTCCAAGATTGTTTAGTGACCAGTCTTGTATAGACAGAAAAAAGATGGAAAACTAGCAAGTAGGAGATGGTTCATGGGCCTTTACAGGGAAGGATAGTTGGCTACATGTCAATAATATGTACAAATATATTTGCCAGAGTTTTGAGTATAGCCTATTATGTTATGACAAATTTAAGCAAAAGTTACATAAAAATTGAGTTTCCAATGATAAATTGAGTTTTACATGTAAAAGTGCCATGTATAGAAGGGTGTACGAGTTTAGCAAGACAATAATTGTTTTCAATAAAGACCGTCTTAATTTATCTCCAAGATGCATCCCAACAAATTTTAATCCAGTTTGTTTTGTTCTTAACCCTAATTTGTATTTTCCTGAGGTAAAATTTGCAATTTTCTTGGGTTAAACAAATTTTGTCAGTAAATGGATTTATCTCTCTTAATAACCCAAGAGTTTGGGATCTAATGGTTTTCATGGCCTAGTTTCATTTACCCTTCTCTCTTTTTTGACTCTCCAGAATGAAAATCTTGGGAAGCGACTTGCCCATGGATACCCTTTTTTAGAAGCAGAGGTTGCATATTGTGCTCGGTATGAGTACTGTGAGTCTGCTGTGGATTTCATTGCTAGGAGATCCAGACTTGCTTTTCTTGATACTGATGCAGCAGGCAGGGCATTGCCACGTGTAATTCAAATATTGGGTGCTGAGCACAAGTGGGACAAATCAAGGCAGAAGCAAGAGTTACAGAAGGCAAGGGAATTCTTGGTAGCTTTTAAGTCATCTAAGAATGCTCAATTCCATGATGGAAAGCATACAGGTCAGTACTACTCTTTTAATATTAATTTGACTAATTTCCCATTTTACATTCAGTAATCTCACGGGTCACTTGTTATTCAATTTGGCAGGGTTGTAAGTTGAAACATAATGGTTTTTTTTTTTACAAAGCTTAGTTTTTCGATGCCTGTAAACAGTGGTCCCATGCACAAGAGATTGGTAAAAGAAACTCCTCACTCTTGGTGTGAGGAATGAATAATTTGTTTTTATTTACCTTGTCATTTCCACAAGCTTGATTTAGTGGGTTGGGTTGGTGCCAGCACTACACATTCTATATTCCTCATAATTTACCTGTTTTTGTTGAGGCATTTGATCCTCCTGAAATTGTAAATTTTATACAATCTGTCGAAGTATAAATTCCCATTTCCTGGGCTTCATTTCATTGTTTTTTGTAACTATCTCTTGATGTTTGCTGGATTTTTGGGATACCCTTCTCCTTTTCTTCGTTTTGGGGTGGGGTGGGGGACTTTTCTTTGTTCCAAATGATTAGAATGGGCAATCCTCTGATTCAGCCTCTGTTCCTTCTGATTATTTATGTGGGCTTTTAATTTTTCTACATAGTGTGTTGTAATTAAGGGGTGTTCTGTACTTTCTATGGATTGCTTGGTTGCGAAACTCAGCACACCCATAAAGCATTCTCTTAGGGTTGCGGGCATGTGGCTGAAACCATTTATGGATGGTTTTGAAATGCAACATATGTAATGCAATAAATGAGTGAAATGTTTTTAATATACATCCACACCACAGTGCAAAATATCTCAGGGATTGTAGTATGGTTCAAACTATGTAATTTCAACCGCACCACAGTAGGGTCCAATACATTCAAACACACGACACCTTATAGAGACCACATTACTAACTCTCTATATTGTTGTTATTTTTAGTTGACTAATTCTTACTTTTAGGACAACCACACACTTGCGTCCGAGATAAGTAGAATGATAAAGCATGAACATGATTGTTATTGCGTCCCCATTTTTTATTGGTTGTTGCATTATCTGAGATTAGTGCAAGAGAATGTGTTAGCACATGTGCATGTGTGCAAGTATTAATCATGTATGATATATGATATTTGGATTTAATTATTATGAGCCGGATGAAATCTAAAAGTATTTGCTTTATATGGTATGGATAAGATATGATAACAAATTTTAGTTGCTGTCTTTTGTGAAGTTATTGCCTTATAAATTCTACAAGTTAATGCTATTATGGGATGCTTAAGTAAATTGCTCCAGGACAGTAGGGTTTTTTTTTTCACATTAACAAATAGAGAATTTTTTCTTACTCAAAAATTAATTTTGTAAGACTGGAAGAAACCTAGTAAGATGGGGGTGCTCTAGAGGTATATAAAAGTAGAAAGTTTTAGACATTATCCATAAAGTTGGTGGAAGTTTTTGGATTTTTTTTATGGGCAACTAATCAGGAGATATTTTACCACACATCTGTTGCTTTCTTGCAACTTTCCAAAAACTGCTTTTTTAATTTATGATGGTGCGCGATTTAGATACTCTTAGCTAGAAGATGATCCGAACTCCAATTGTGCGGCGAGTTGGATCAAGCTGTAAAATAATAGATCAGAGAACCCAGGGTGATTAATCCGGCGAGGTCGCGCCGATGCTTAAGTCAGTTCTATACTGTGGATGCGAGTTGAATAATTGAATGCTTGAGTGCTAGTAAGTAAATAATTGCGCGTATCTTTGCCTTGGGGTTTGATGTCCTTATATAGTGGAGTAATCGTGGACTTTACGAAAAAACTCCGGGACCTCTGGGCTGTGTGGATAAGATTTGTTCAGTTTTTTAAGGAAAGCAATGTGTCAGTTGATAAGGTTTATCGTTTTCTTCTTATTCAAGTGGAGTTAGGATGAGCCTCGTTGTATGCCTGAGAAATTCGGGGTCTGTTAGGGAGGCCTTTTGAGTTGATTATGTGGCGTTTCGGCTCTTTAGCTCCGAACTGGTACTTCAGTTCCTTAGTCCCGAACTGGATTGAGTGTCGAGGTGTCTCTACGCCGAGATGGTTTTTGGGTCGAAGTGACTGAATACCCGAGCTCTGTTTGTTGCGGACTAGGTTCCTTTGGCTGAGTTGTCATCCCTCGAGCAGATTGCGTCCACGTGACCCCATCTTACTAGGTCGTGCCAAATCACCTTTCATCAATTGCCTCCCACTCCTCGTGCCAGGGGTCCTGACCCGGTGCGGGGAGTTCATGACAAGTCCAGGTGGATTTGGCACGAAGTCTAGGCGATTTGGAGGGTGGAACGTTGGTCGGACATGTTCAATCATCTGGCTCAACCATGAAATGGCCCAGATCGCGTCTCAGTCACGCACGAACATCACATTGTTTATAAATTCTGCGGACACCAAAGAGCGCGCTCAACCGATTTTGTCCTCGGGTAGCGTGTAGCCGATTTTCATGGGAGTCATTAAGTCACACAGATCTCAACCGTTGATTGCCGGATGTGGTGGATTATAAATAGGGGCCGAAGGGCCCATTATCCTCGCCATAAATTGTGTAACTGAGCTTTCTTGAGATCACGTCAGAGTCCTTCAGGTCTTCGTTCTCTCCCCTTGTGTCTGAAGTCGTTATCGCCTTCTTTGGTGAGTTCGTCTTCTTTCACTTGTTGTTCCCTTTTCCTTTTCCTGTCCAATATGTCTAGTGCTAGCATAGATAGGTTACTTAGTAATTCTAGCGAGCTTGGGGGTGCCGAGGTGCGGTCCTCAGCTCCCACCGGTGAGGCTAGCTCTTCGCTAGAGAGCTCCTCTTTGGACCTGTTAGGAGAAATGCCTTTACCTGACGTCGAGCCATCTCGGTTTGAGGGACTCGAACTTCAGGTAGAGCGGCCGACCTCCGGAGAGGGGGTCTCGTCTTCTACTTGAAATCGGGATCCGAACAACTTCAGCCCTTCCACGATGACCTCGGACAAGTTTTTGTCCTTAATAGCTCGTTACCGTCTCCCCGATACTCTCATCTTCAGCATTCCTTTGGGTCAGTACCCTTGGGTCCACGACTATTATGAACTTGCGGTTTTTGAGGAGCAACTCGTAGCTGAGCTGCTCTTCCCACTCCACCCCTTCATCGTAGAAATTATTAAGTTTTTTAACGTCACTATCGATTAGCTACACCTGAATTTCATCCATACTATTGTTAATACGATGTTGCTCTTCCATGAGTATAACCGACCTATCACTCTAGACATCTTTAGCTCAATTTGTTCCATTAAGAAAAATTCTTCTTGCCTGTTCGGCGACACCCGACAGAGCTACTATATCTCACCTCGCCCCGGGTTCAAGGTCCTGTTCGGTAACCCGAACAAGGTATCAGCCTAGAAGAGAAGGTACTTTTTTGTTCGGAACCCTGAAGGATGGCCATTCCCTACTCATTGGCGAGTTGCCATTAAGGACCCCAGGGTAAGGCTGGATGCAGAGACCAGGGCAGTCATCCATTCTTGGAGGGACCTCGGCCTTGAGGTGGAAGATTTCCTGGCTGAGGAGAAGCTTGTACGAGTTGGGTTGAGTCCTCCTGGTAGGTCTCTACCTCGGCACACACATTACTTCTTTTTTTCTTTTTGCACTTCAGTTCGCAACTGACTAGAAATTTTTTCTTTTTCTTCTCTTTTGTAGGAGCTATGACGAGTGTCGATGCCGCTAACCTCTTAGAGAGTGTTCAGAAGGGGAAGAAGAGAAGGGCCTCGAGAAGGTCCCGTCGAGAGTAGGCCACCTCTTCGATTCTTGCCGAACCCAAGGTCGTAGTGCCAGAGCCATCCTTTGCCGAGCTCCCAGGGGAGGATGTCCGCCTCCAACCTCTAGTTGTTGACCTGGAAGAGGATCAGGATGAGGAGACTCCACCTCGCGAGCCCGAAGGTACTTCAGTGCCTGAGCCCCAGCCCCCCTCAGCGAAAGAGAGCATAATGACTCTAAGGCTCGAGCTTCTTAAGAGCAAAGATGCAGTGTTTCCTGTGGAGGTCGCAAAGTGGCCTGACATGCCAACAAGTTAGCTCGGAGGGAGAGTAGCTAGCTACTGTATGGTGGTAAGTAACTTGCCCCTTCGTTTACTTTCTTATTCTTCTATCAATGATACTTACGCTTGCTTTATTTATTTTTTTTAGGTGAACTCTGCTATCCACTTGCTAGTCTATCAATCTAAGATCCGCTTGAATCGAGCTCGGGAGGCCGAAGAGAACGCTCGGAAGCTTTACCATGAACTGGACTTAGCTGGGGGTGAAATTCTTAGGGCCAAAAAGGGAGCTTGGAGCCAAGAGAAGCTGATTCTAGTGCTAACGGAGGAAAAGAAGAAGCTTAAGGGGGGGAAGGAAGCTCTCCTTCGGGAGAATGAAAACTTTGAGGCGATGATCAAGGAGCACATCAAAATCTTCGACACCGCAATTCAGGAGGCGAGGATTTAGGAGAGAGATCGTGCAATCAAGGAGTTCAAAGAGTCCCTCGAGTTTCACGACCTCCAGGTCGAATACGGTTCTAGTTCGTACCAAACGGGCTTCAAGCTCTGTAGGTGGTTGATGCGGCAAAAGTTCCTCGAGCTCGATCTTGGATCCATCTCCATGTCTACCATTACTCCAGAGATGGCGAAGGAGGCTGATGAGGAACTTGACTCCTCCGAGGGAGAAAGCGATGATGAACTTCTTGAAGCGAGACCGTCAGGGGAGGCAGGTCGAGATGATGTGGAGGACCACATGGAGACTGACCTACCTGCTGGAGGAGATTCTGAAAAATCTGATGTTTGAACATTCCTCTTTTCTTGGACCCCCCCCCCCATATAGTGTATGTCCCGGGCATCCGAGCTCAGTTATAGTAATAGTTTTTATGTACTCGAAACTTTTTGTTAATGAAGTATAATGATTCAAAAAGTCTTATCTGTGCAAAATCTTTTTAAGTAAAAAATTTTTCTAAGTGTCGGTTATCCCGAAGTGCCAGGCTAGCGAGCTAGACTCAAGGTAGGAATAACCTTGTGTCATTGAACGCCGAGGTGGATAGACACTGTAGGGTATATACCCGACTTGTCTATGCACGGGTTACTTACTTGCCCAAGCTGAAGAGGCGATTGGGAATCGTTACGCCTATGTCGAGGAGGCGAGTAGGACTTATCTGCCCATGCCGAAGAGGCGACTAGGACTTGTCTGCCTATGCCAAAGAGGCGACTATGACTTATTGTAGTGCCGAGGTCTTTTTGTCAGCTCAGCACCGTAGCCCTTAGGCTTCTGGGAGTGACTCACAATCCTCTCTCTAATCGGTCGTCTCTTTTGACCAGTTCGGTGGTCTCATAGACTTAAGAGAAATTTTGCCTTGGAGTCATGGTTTCATAAGTAGTACATTCTTAGGTTATCGATGTTCCATGCTCGAGGTACCTGCTTTCCTTTCAAATTCTTGAGCTCATATGTGCCTTCCCCAAACACCCGCCTTACACGGTACAAACCTTCCCACTTCGGTCCAAGCTTACCTACACCAGGCTCAGGTACCATAACTTTTCGGAGAACCAGGTCGCCGGCACGGAACTGTCGTTTTCTGACCCGGGCATTATAGTACCGGGCTACTCTCTACTGGTAGGCCGCGGTTTGAATGTAAGCCAGGTCTCGCACCTCCTCTACCAGGTTCAGGTTGGTACGGAGATCGTCATCGTTTGTTTCATCATCATAAGCCTCAAATCGCAATGTGGGTACTTCGATGTTTGTCGGGATCACTGCCTCTGTGCCATACGTGAGGTTGAAGGGGGTCTCACCCATCAC